TCTCAAGGTCTTTCTAATTACTATAAAACCCCTGTTTTTTCTGTACATAATCGAACCTTGTAGTAAAGTGATTTCTCTGTTACTCGTGTCTTCTTACTGGTCTTTCAAGTCGCTGAGTAGTGCTAGCCTGGGGTTATCCGAATAGCTTAGGATCTGAATATAGCGTTCAACCCACAAGACATATCACCAGTAAATACCCTTCTTATTCAAATCCAGGTTTGAAAGTCCGACAGTTGAATTGCTTGAGTCGCTAATACTTCTGTGTATGACACAACTATGAAAATCAACGAGAGTTGAACCGATGGTGTTTTGAGTTCTGTGCTGCATTTGTTTAGAAAGTAATTTCTACTAAATTCTTACAAAATAAACTGAAAAGACCATTTCTGTCTGTCTCTGTCGACTTGATTTACTTTTCCTCATTTTTCAGATGAATACTTAAGTCCGAATATGCAGCCACCAGAAGAATACTTATCTCCGATATCCAGTGGATTTAGCGTAACCAATCCAGAGTACTTAATGGAAACATACGGTTATCCACAGCAATACCCAGAGCCAAATACATTAAAACAAAGCACAAATCCTGCTAGCGACTCAAATTCCCCGCTGAAATTTCAGGATAAAACAAACCAAAAGTAAACCCTATACTACTGTTTGTTGTTATCGTATCTGTTGTTGCTGTGGTTTTTTCAAAGCAGTTACTTTTTGCCTAATTAAATACATTTTAAAAACAAATTCTGCTAATAATATCAAATTTACTGTTAACACTCTTACTCTTCTAATTTCGTTTTTATTTACGTTTTGCTGCCCGTTTTGTTTATGTATGAAATTTCTTTGGCTTCTTTTGCATATTAGTGAGTCATCCTCGCTGGAATTATAGATACAACATTCGCTCCCAACCCTTCCTCTTTTTCCCCACCAGAATAGTGAAAAACAACAGACTCTTCATTTTAAAATGATACAACAGTGACACTGATGTTTGTTACTTCCTTCTATTTTCATTTTATTATTTGTCATACCTATAAAAACCAAATAAAGAATGATCAATGTGTAAACACTCCGGAAGTCAATGCATAAACATGTTCACAGTGGATTTTGTATGGTTCATTCATCATGATGATAGATATTTACATTTTTCCAACGATTAAAGAAAAAGTCAAGGATGAATGAAGAACAATAATGCTGTAAGAAAAAGATGCATCTCAATATTCATTTGTCCTCCTTCTCCTTCTGTATTTTTAATTTCAGTTTATTGATTACATACAAACAGATACTACTTCTTACTAGCATTTTTATCAAAGTATTACTTCATACCATTGCTTCCTGTGTATTTCGGGTAATTTTCTTTCCAAAAACCATTCAATTTATCCTGAATTATAATTGCTTGCTTGTCTATGGACTCACTATAACTGTTTGTTGGATTGTCGTCTATGCATCATTCATTGTTCCCAAGATAGGCAGAAACCAGGACCATGAGGATATATATTGATATACCGCTTGTTCGTAATGAGCACTGTTTGCAAACACTGCCTTATAAACCAAACATGTTTCAGATGCATTTATTGTCAGATTCGGCGACCTTTTAATGTAAATAGACATCATTCTTTTCGTTGTCATTTGCATGCTGGTTCTTTTTTAAAACAAATAATATGAATACTCTGTCTATTTTACATTGAATCTATTATAAAACCAAGTATTGAGACGATATGTTTTTGAAACTACCTACTAAAATAATCCCAAGTAGCAAAATGTTATCTCACAGGTAAGAAGTTTCGATCAAAAATGACGATATACCTTACCCTTTGTCTGAATTAATTGTTACATAAAAGTAGTATCTGTACTGAGTGAAAATCAGTCATCATAATATTTTTTTTAAAAATACAATTGAAAGGGAAGCATCGTTGTGAATGTAATGATGAGAGAATTCTAAGTGGTTTCCACGTAAATTGCCAAACAAGTAATTTAAGCTCACAGATGTTGGTTATAACATAATGTCTTGTTCTTTAAATTACCAAATGCTTGAAAAATAAACCGTCTCATTATTTTGGACTTATCTATAAATAAGCAAATAAATGGGACAGGACTTGGATTAAATAACTTATATTGTCTAGCTTGATGCCTTATGAAATAAACAAACTACAATTGCTCAAAGAATATCTAAAAGCCAAAAGACGTGTAAGACCAAATTATTTATTCTTATGATGGAAAAAAGCTTGATCAACGACCAACTGAAACCCTTTTGATTTAAGCTCTTCAAATCCTTCAAGCCAATAAATGTAATTAGAGCGGTTAGTAAGATGGAGAAGATAACAGATATATGTTTCCTTAAAACATATATTCGAGAGTACTTTGTTGATTAAGATAGATGAACTGAAGTTACTCATTTTCCGAAGTTAAATTTATAAGGATTTTTCTGTAGAAATCCCGATCGTAGCTGCTACCTTGATGTGGTGGTCGGGTTCGCCTATCGTGATTACCCGACCGAGCTATAATGACTGGGATATGTGTTCCAGTAGGTTCTACCATACCAGGCAGGTCGATTGGAGAACAGTAAGACTAAAAGCAGCAACTCAAGGTTGTACTGTCAACAGTAAGGTGTTTCCCTCGGAAAACCAGCATCCGTAGCGATGCTACCTTCTCAAAAGGAAGGAAGGGGTTAGAAAAGGTCGACCCTAAAAATGTCACACCTCACCTTACCTCACAGATTTTCGTCTCCGGCGGTGAGGCCCTTTTGAAGAACGGAGCTAACACGTCCAAAACCTCCCACATAAAAGCCGTGCGTGACTGGTTTCAAGCAGTTGTCCATTGGACTCAGCGGCCCCGTTCCTAGGTCGTTAAGACCAGCATTAATCCAACATTCCTTTCAGACGCCTCAAGAAATACTTTTCCATGGTGTGGGCAACCGGGGAGTGATATCAACCCTCATACATGTAACAACACACGAGACCAAGTTGATCGCATTCAAATACTTCGTACACCTAATAACTCACTTATCTCCATGACTAACCCTTCTCACGTTCCTTTATCACCTTGCACTGCTAGGGTAAACGATTCGAGTACGCCGAACGTGCCCCCAAATGCCCTGGTACGGCCGAAAATGGGGAGAGTCACCTCTCCCTCTCCAAATGCTCTCACATGGCCACGCGAATATATAGCCTCTGACAGCGAAGTCCTACTCACTGCCTTCTCACGGCGGGGGTGTTGTTCACAAAAGTGAGAGGACGAAAAGCGAATGTCCGGCGCTTTAACCGGGTTGGTGGATGTGGAGGATCCACCTAGGGGAGTTGGAAAACCCTGATTCCAAACCATTGGTGCACATGAGCTCCAGGATCCTGAAGGAACGGATGGCGTATGAACCAACTGTTGGTCACCGGCTACCATGGGACTGCATCTCTTTACGATGCTCCACTGCCTTGTGGACTAGACCTTTAAGTCAAAGGCTCCGGGTGTGGCCCCCTAAGAAAACCACCTGCTTCAGTCTGGGCACCTGGGCAGTATCACAGCCCTCACACAAATCGAATGAGATTTGTTAGGCGCATATTTATCTGGTGCTTCCTTGTACCAATATTTATGTGTTTAAATAAAATAAATAAAAAATAAGTAGGTTGGAAGAAAGCTAGGGGTGGCCAAACCAAAACGTGGCACAAATTTATGAAGTCACTAACAATTGGACTGAGCCATGTTGGTAGGTGTAGACTACCTGATCGGGATCCGCGAGATGGTAACAACCGATGGTTAGAGACCCTAAATGACATGGCTCCAAATTGTGTGCATCCATTCTGTGTTCTGCCGAATTCTAATCTGAATTCTTTATGTCCCCGTCTTTTTTCTCATTCCAAAGTTATTTCATTGGATTATACTCCTTGAAAAACATCTTCAAACCCTAATCTTTCCGATTACTGCCTATACTTTTACTACCTCTACCACAATGGGATTTGAATCGACAACTGCATCTCTGTGCTAATGTGATATGGCAACTCGAACTGATGTACGTACGTACTGAGTTGTACGTTGTGACTAACTGGATGTAGAAATACTTTTAGAAAGTTCATTTTTGAAATTTACGCTTATTTGAAGAATGTAACTCATCAGTTGGTAAGTTAAAAGTAATAATGTTTCATATATACTTTTGTTCGCATACAACTACACCTTCCGATGAAAATGGCTAACTAGACCGTGTATTGTGTAGCTTTTTGTTTCAATCATCCAAATAAATTACACACTTAAAATCCTACGAGGATTTATCGTTATTTTACAAATAAAACCATAAGTCTTTCTCAGGACAGTAGTACAATAAAGTATCTTATGTGAACATATATGGTTGATAAGCTAAATGGCTAAGCATATGAATCGATCCATTTACGTCAAATGACAAGCATATGTCAAGTTACTTACAATTTATCTCGAAAATTTATTTTGATAATGTTAATTATAGGGTTTTATTTGTATTTTCTTTAAAGTTTGATAGATAGCGTACAGAAGAATGACTCTATGAAGAAAAAATACATAGAAACAAATTCCTAAAGAACTTGTAATGTTCAGTTCATGTCTACAAAATAGGCTTCAAATAAGTTTCATCGAAACTCCCGACGGCTTTCATTTATTAAATAAAGCATTTTATTTGAAAATAAAACAACCAAGCACTCATAACATCTACACTGTGAATACCAGTAATAAGCTATGTAATTTGTTTTTAAAAAAGACTATTGAGTAGAATCGATAGCTCGAATCTGCTCTGAACTGTCCTTTGGAAAGTTAAATACAAGGCGGCAACATATAAAATTCAGGCTAAAGTAGCAAACCATTCAAACACTAACTCATTTTGGACATCAGCGAACGACATTAACTGTAAATTGAGCCATATATATATATATATATATATATATTGTGTAAATTAATAAGGAATAAATAGTTAATTACAGGCAGCTATTCAAAAAACATAAAATAACTAAAATCTACTTCCATATAATTATAAAAACAGAGAATTCCTCGATGTAAAGTTCGTGACGTTTACTTCCCACAATAACTAAATACTTATCAGTAATAAGTACTAAGTTAATAATTTCCAATAGCTGGTAATACTTAAAACATATTAGATTCTAAACTACTTCCTTAAGTAGTCGAATTTCTCTACACTTGCGAGACAGTTATGTAACTGTATGCCAGTAAAATAAAAGTAAATCACATGAAATGATACTACACAGTTATTGAGTGATAAATATATCCTAACTCCAACGTATTAGATTTGAATTAAAAAAAACTGTAAAAAAATCGTTTTTATAAACTAGTGAAATATATGAACAAGTGCGTTAGTAGCATATCGATAAAGTAAAAGATATGAAAAAGTAAAATGAGTATACTTTATCGAGCTGCAGGCAGCAGGGTTAATAAAACCAATGACTAAATATGGTGTACGGATTTTCTACAAATATAAAATAATCAAAGCAAAACAAAAAACAAACACAAGATTAAAATCAAAATGATAAACCAATAAAAAGAGACTATAAATTTTGTTTTAGAAATATGCGAAATAAAGAAATAATTATGGTAAGTGCACTGAATATATATATATATATATATATCTTTTGTGTGCATTGATATGGTAGCAAGGGGTGTAAAACCACTGATATCAAGCTAGTCAACATGATACAAATGGTACACAAATGTAGTGATAACAAGAGTCTTGAATAAAACAAACTATTTTTGTAGGATGAACTAGGACTGGAAAAAATCATCATCCACTCCAACACATATATCTGAGAAGAAGCTGGGATCAAATAACGCTAGATTTGTTTGTGTTTCAACACTGTTCAACCACAATTCTATATCTTCATCAATTGTTTGAGTTTGATTGTGAGTGAAATCTACATTCGCTGACCAATCATGCTGTGTTGTTGTTTCCACAGTGTTCAAATTACAATATTGTGAATTATCACAGGAAGTTGGTACAGTATTAGTTTGCACAGAAGTTTTGATAGATGATGTAGATGAAGAGCATTGTAACATTGGATCCGTCGAACCAGGTAAATCATAACCGGAATAATTTATCACATTAACACAAGCCTGAGTACCAGAATCTGTTGTTGCATCCATGTTTAATATTTCCATAACTTTAAAAGAAACAAATAATATGAGACAGAAACTAAAATACATAGAATTGTGACTCAAAAAACAATATATCTGATAGTATAGGACAGAGGAAACAATTAATATAAGACAGTAAACATTTTACAGTATGTATACCTAGAAATTCTCATGAAACAAGCTTTCGAAAACCGCTACGTACTTTGCTCTGTTAATGAAAAACAACTCAGACTCAAGACCACTTTACATTTTCCATACTTGATTGAAGGTGATGCTTCTATTCAGACAGGTTTACAATCCATTTATCTTACAAACCAGTCAGCTGAAAAAGGATAGATGTTGATGTATACAATCCCAAATACAATAAAACCTCATTAGAGAAATTAGCGTAGAAATAAGTTGTTGACGTTAAACACATATGGTGTACTTATTACAATTTTCGAATGTTCCGCGAGATAATGAATTTCCATACAGGCACTAGATTTATCATGTAGAACATTACAATCACCGCCAAAAAGAAAGAAATAGGAACAAGTAGTGGAAAGTAGAGTTAACAGATTAAGTGATGTATATAACATCAAAACGATGAAGACATGAATGTAATTAATAAAGTACTTAGCTGGTTTCTTTCGAAATAGTGAATTATTAGTATTATTATATCATATTATATCATATATCCTATTAAACTAACATAATCAGTTTTAGAATTTTATTACCAGTCATTTAACAGGATAGTTTAGTAGGACCTCCAGTATAGGATGCAAAAATAACAAACAGACTATCGTGAAATCTTAGTAGAAAGCCAAGAATTTACAGTGGTTTTAATAGCTCTCATACTAAATGATCCTGAAAAACTCATCTAAGCGAACTACGAACAAAATGTGGCACAAAAGTTGATTAAAAGTAAACTAAAAACGTCTACCCAACGCCCAGAAGTAGGCAAAAAGATCAAGAACTATAAATCCCGAAGATAACAGATAACAATAAAAATATTTTTAAGCTTATCAGCGATGTGGCTCACGAAGTCAATACTTAGTGGAACGACTGAGGAAAAAGAGGATCCAGTTGTCCACTATTTGAAGCATTTTCATGAGGTGGAAATATCAAGTGAACAACACTAATTTCGGGCGTACAGTATACGTTAAATCTGTCGATGGGGTGGTGAATTTTCATCGACCGGAGAGGTTAAGTGTTAACTATACCCGGCTATAACCCACTTAGATGCGCTATCCTGGTTAAAGTAAGAGCTGAAAATATAATACCAACACTTACGAGGAGATTGGCTGTCTGAAATTTTTGCTTCATTCAACAAACGATGTAAAGTTTGGCATGCAGTACTTAAATGAGTTCCAAGTGAAACAGTACTTTGCAGCATAGGAGGAGGTGGTGTTTCAAGCATTCTGCTTGGAGTATAGTAAGTACTACGATCGGAATGAGGACAGTCAGTAGCAATTTCAGCATTTAAATTTTCCATAACATCGGTTTGCATAGCAGCGTTTTCACGTAACGGTAGTAACCGCGCTTGAATTTCCTGATCCATTACACTATTTGAGCACCCAGTAAGAGAGGTGTAGTTGCTCGACTGAACGGAGTTCTTGGCTGGCTTTATTGATGAAGAGTGATGTTCATTGAGTGGACCCAACGTTATCTGTTTGGTCTCGTAAGACAGCTTTCGTTCTTGTCTAACTTCGTAGTTGTCTAAACATTACAAAAGCATAACAAAGAAAGAGACTTTTAAAGACTATCAAAACGATAAAATAAGAAAATATCTAATCAAAAAGCACATTACCACCCCAAAAGGGAAAGAAGTTAAACACTTCCAGTTCAGACATAAATACACTGGAGATGATTGTTTTTAATGAACGGGTCTTTATGGCAACTGTGCGACCGAGGAGTATGGATAATAATGAAACCACAAAATAGTTTAAATTACACACCAAATAAACGGGGTGGGAACGCAAAACTGAGCATTTATGAGATCGTGACACTGAGATACCATCAATGTTTGTAATAATAAGATCTAACTTTAATTTTTATAAAGAACCGTTTGCTATGAATTGGGTATTAATGGATTTGATTAGGACTTACCACATATTGTACTTGACTGAGGAAGATTGGCTTCTACTGCAGCATTACAGAAGAGACCACCAATGAATGAACTGATGTCATCCTCATCGGTACATGTGTTAACAGACACAAGTTCATGTGTCCGGAGTGTATGAGAGCATGGTTGTGATACAGTGTTCGGTGTATATAACTGTTCAGTTTGTGTTGAGGCCTCCAAGGAAGAATTGCTTACAGGGACTGTGTAAACACTGCAGAAATTTCCTAAATTTGGTTTTAAAACCACTGACGTATCGCTCGAATTTATTGCAGACTCCGAGAGATTAACCTTAAAGTGCAGAAAGATATGTATAAATTAAATTTAATAAAGTGGATTAACAGTGATAACTGAAACACTTTAACACATTAAATCAGTAGTTAAAGCTTAAATAACGTTACTCCTACAAAAGCCACTCTAAACTTTATGCTAGTCCTCAGACGCCACATGAGAAGAGTTTTTTGTCTTACTAGAATAGGATACTACCATAAATGACTGGAAAAGTATTAAAAGATAGTAAGTTTAACATAACAGGAGTAACTGAGCCCCCAACAAGCACCGAAATAAAGAATAGATCTTTGTAAACAGTCTGGTCTTGACTCAAGAAAGGTAAAACAAAGAAACCGCAGTCAACAACAGTCAAACGGAAGCAGAGGAATTCAAGGCACATGCTGAATATACAGAAGCAAACATACGATTGAAAAGGGTTACTAGAGCTGACAAACGGAAATATGCAGAAAATCTGGCAACCATAACAGAAAAAACTGCAAGAGAAGAAAATACAGAATGACTGCATGGTGCAGCCAAAAGTATTGCAGGGAGACATGGCACACCAGAGTGGCAAGTTAGGAATAAAGAAGGAAACTCGGTGACTGAGGATCGAAAGTGGGGGGCACAAGCGGACAGAGCACTTTGAAAAACTCTTAAACAAACCAGCACCACTGAACCCACCGGACATTGAAGTAACACACACAGATCACTCTATTGACGATACCCCACCAACAACAGAAGAAACTAGCATAGCCGTTAGACAAACCAAGAGTGGGGAAGTGGCAGGACCAAACGGGATATCAACTGATGCACCAAATTCAGAGACAGAGCTAGCTAAGAAGATGCTCAACATTCTCTTAAGGAAGATTTGAGGGGGAGAACAAGTACTGGCGGACTGGGAGGAAGGATACCTTATCAAGATTTAAGTAAGTGAGAGAACTACAGAGGCGTTACACTGCCATCAGTACAAGGCACAGTCTCCATACAGTGTTGTTGAACCGAGTGAGAGATCTAGCAGACGCCCAACTTCGAGACAACTAGACTGGTTTTCGTAAGGATCGACCATGTACCGACCAAGTCACAACATCATGGATCAATATTGAACAATGCATTGAATGGTACTCATCACCGTACGTCGACTTCACTGACCATGAAAAATATTTTATACAAATGAGAATTAGTTAATAAATCCTTACAATACGAAACGTGTATATCCTTAGAATTTTAATTGTTTGACAACAAAAGGGTGGAATAAGAAGCATCAAGTAATTTATATCTTACCTGGAAATTTGGATTCTGAAAAATTTGTGTTGAAATTGTACGAAGAGCCGAAAGAGCGCTTGTATATAAAAAATTCATATTCAAACATCCCAAAGCATTGTTTACATTTTCTACATTCACATCACTTACGTTAGGTACAGGAACTGGTACAATAAGAAGTGGAAGAACTAATGGACCACATGATCCACTAGGAGGGATAGGATTACGTGTAACACACAAGCTTGGAATTGATGTATGCTTCAAAGGCGATCTGTTTGGAGTATTTTCGACTTTAGGAATGGAATTATGAGATAAAGTGTTACTGTGTCCACTTCTTCGGTAATGCTGAAGTAAGTGCTTTTTACTTGAATAAGACCTGAAACAAACTGAACAAGAATATGTTGCTCCACATAGTTTTTGATGATAGGCATGATATGAGGGAGTAGGGAAGAAATGATTACATTTGTTACACTGGTAACTTTTCTGCATATGAACATGCTGGTAATGCTATGATATAAGAACATATTAATCAATAATTTAAGTATACCTGCTTTAATCTCCAGTAAGTGCTGAATCCACCGCCTGAACCAATATTGTGTTTACATGTAGCCATAGGGCAATGATAGATATAACTAACATTATACCTTTGTTTGGAATAAAATGCCACGTCTTTTGCATTCTGAAATAACAATACACATTAGTAGACGTAGACTGTTCTACCTTCATGATCTTATGAGTTTTAATCTGATGAGCCCGCAAGTTAGCTTTGGTTTTCACTTTGATTCCACATAACTCGCAAACATAAGTTGGTAATGGTAATTCTGTTAGTTCTGATTCTGAAATAACTACATGCAAAACGTTCGATTCTGTAATAGGAAAATTATTGACTATTTGGTCGTTGTCCTTAGATTCCGAAGGGAAAGAATGATAAAACTCACATGTCCCCATAATCTAACAGAGCAACGGAACAGCAAAGATCACAAGTTAGAAACCATAAAATAATTTGCCATAGTCTGCCTCAATTGATCATTTAATTTTTTATTAGTGTGAACGAGATTACGAGTTTCCTTAAGCCAGAGAGAACATAAGTAGACAAAATTTTACAAATGTCAGTCAACAGTTATTCACAAGATGCTCTTATCTCTTCTCAATCAATTTCTTACTATCTTTTACTTGGAACCCCTTAAAATTTTTCAACAACAGTAGAAAAAAGGCTTATGCAACACAATCAAATATTTAGCGATCAAAGACAGAAAGGGTGGATAAACTATGTACTCACTTTCCTGAATGCAAAAGTTCTTACAAACGTACATCCACTTCTTCAAAGCGGAAAATAAAGAAATACTGGAGATGGACGAAACTCGGGATGATTTGATAAAATAATAGCAACCGATTTAAAGTAGGTTGGCTTGCCAAGCTTTGAGTCGTAGCTATGCGGGAGCTACAGATAAACCACACACTAGGTGCTGATGGGAAGAGTTGCCATCTTATGTTGCTATATTTCGTATTATCACAAAAACCGTACGAGTGCTTATAAACAGCTGTTCATACATTTATTTATTTAAACACATAAATATTAGTACAAGGAAGCACCAGATACATATGCGCCGCACAAATCTCATTTGATTTGTGTGAGGGCTGGGATACTGCCCAGGTGCCCAAACTGAAGCTGTTCATACAAGATACTCAAGATCCAGTGGTTAGAGAGCATCAGTAATAATCTGCTGTAGCAGAGAAAAAATCAGCTTCTAGTCGAGGGGGGAATCAGGGAAAGACTCTGGAGGTGGATAAGACACTGAGGAAACCACTAAACTACACAAAACAAGACCCGACATGGAATCCTCAAGACGGAAGAAAAAGGTGAAGACCACAGGACACGTGACGCTGAGAATCAAAGGCAAATATTAAGGTCATGAATAGCATTTGGCAACAACTGTGAATGAAAGCCCAGGATATAGTTAGTTAAGAATCTCTGGTTGATGGCATAAGCCGTACGACGAGTAAATAGTTGAGACGACCTCTGTCTGACTTGAGAGTGAGACCTACCTCCCATTGTGCTGGATTTAAAGAGGCTTTCCACAGCATTATATGTAATAACTCCAAACTCAATACATCACTTGGCTAACTCAAAACCGAGGCAAACACGAAAAACACTAAACTACACATAGTATGACCACTGCGACAAAAAGAGAGGAATGTCTCACCATTTCCCCTAAACAGACGAAAAAGGATATTTCATGGTCATGTATTTTTTACTAACCCTCATTTTGAGGAATGTCTACTTTGTTTCTCTTGTGTTAGTCATTATCTCCTCTATTCAGTTCCCTTGGGCAAATCACCGAACTTAAAATCGTAAGGCTTCAAGATCGACTCAAACGACAAGAAAATAGGGAATAAACCTAGTAGAATCGGACAATCATAAGCTTTCTTAACTCTTTTGAAACCGGAAACTTAGGAATCAAAGCAATCCTTTATAATTCACCGAAATTTTCCACATAATGTGCACAGACTTGAAATAAGCACCAACAATAACGTGGCATAACTATAATTTTAGCATATTTCACCTAGCAGACCATTAGCCAAATAGGGTATAATTAAGCACAGAATTAGCGTACGGCGAGCCGACTAGGATTATTTCGAACTGACCGCCTGTAAACAAACAGCACCCAACTCCTGTGGTACTCTTGTCAGGGCAATATATATACTATTTCTTTGATCTAATTGAATATGCTTTTCAACTTTTTACCTATGCGCTTCTAGAGGATCTAAAATATTTTTTGCCTAAGCTCTTGAAAAACTGTTTCTCGCTTTATGGAATAAGCTATATTGAACGAAGCACAGGTTCATTTTCTGAGTGTACATCTAACAACATATGCATCTGCATTAGAATGAAAGGTGAGAACATTTAGGCTGTTTTTTCTTCAGTAGTAAATAAATCTCCAAAATCAATAGCTCTCTAAGTCTTCAACATATCCACCTGGCTGAAGGCGCTCGGTCACGTATCCGCACCAGAACACGAGTGGGTGCATGGTACTACGAATCCCTTTCAACTATTGGTCAGTTAGACCAAAAGTTCTTTGACATACCGACCGCCTTACAAATACATCTTGGAACTCCTTCGTTTCTGACCTCTGATTTAACTGAGTTGGCATACTACGATTATAAAGGTGTTACTTGTAAAGGCATCGGTAAACTCCGAATACTTGCGGCATCTTTAGTGGTGAGACAAACGTGATCCGGTACATCAAACACTAAACTGTCATTCGGTTCCTTGTTGTAACACTATATATTATTTCTTAATTGATATTTTTTGCATATTGTGATACTTTATCTATATTGTTGAATATATTTTCTCCCGTTTATTGGCATCCTATGTATTCATTGCGGCGGAACAGATTCATAAATATTTCAAGATCAAGACTCTTCCATCTCCCTCATCTCAGCCCATGCCATTTTGACCTGACAATATTGAAGCCTGGTTCTGCTTCGAGGAAGCTGACTTTACGAGCACGGCGGCTAAGTCCGTGCGCACACCTCCTCACAGTAGTGGAGGCAGTACTGAGTGATGTACGAAACTTTACGAAACTTTAAAAAACGCTATTCTTAAAAGTGAAGATCTAACCAGCCGACAAGCTTCAGATTTACTCTTCAACAACATTTATCTACAATATGGCTCAGCAACAGAAACGTTACCATAACTGAGAGAGGTTAGTGGTGAAGGTATATTTGACGAAGTCCTGTCTGGACCACTCTTGTTGACTGAACATCCCCAACAGGTGCAGGCAGTTGTCGTCTCATAACAAAACAACGCTGTAGTCAAACTGATTGCACCTGCCGACCAGATTGGGAATCACCAGAACTTCCGACGCCGAGGTCTATTCGATTATAGAAAAACCTGAAACGGCACAAAATGACGTCACAAATCCCTGTCATACTCTGACAAGTCACCTTAGTATCTTTCATGACCGTAGACTATCCCAAACTACTCGGACTAGTTGTTCATGAAAACAATCTGTCTCTAGACCACGAGAGGCAGGTAATCCTGATGGCTATTGGTACCACAACTCACATGGTCAGTCTTTTAGAAATTGCAGAAAACTCCGCAGTTTCTCAATTTCGAAACCGTCCAACACGAAAACACTCTTGAGGAACTACCTCGCTGGCACGCGCTGACGTCAATCATAGCCAGTGGAAATAGACGTCTGGTATACATCGCTGATGTGGTGATGCAATTTCGGTAATTCGTCGACACTGACGCAGAAGTTAGTGTTTTTCCAGCAAATTCTAACGACCGACTTCCCAGACCAGTTTTTAACTTACAGCCAGCAAGTGTGAAACCAAGTGCTACGTACAGTAAGCGATATGTGTATCTTAACCTATGTTTATTAAAACCCACTCACAAGATCTTTGTTGTTGAAGATATTTCTATGCCAGTCATTGGTACATACCTGCTACAACATAAACTACTGATCGACTCGCGCAAATGGAGCTTAGAAGATAACAACACTAATCAGCCGTGTGTGTGACTTCCCTTACCGGTTGTGGATTATCCCCAGTAACTGTCAGCCATATGATCAATCCATCCTATCAACAGTTACTCGATATTGATGACTGCTTGATCGCAGGTTCAGACAGAGAATCTCATCTCCGGATACACTATTGCTGTTCGAGTTATTCGACCTCTGAAAAGCAGAGTGGCAGTCATTCCTGATTACCCAAAACCGACCACAGTCGAGCAATTAGGTACGCCCGACGGCCTGATAACTTTTTTATAGGCAGTTCATACCGAATCGCGCGTCATTCATAAGACCCATAAGCAACCAACTTCGCGGAGATACAAAACTCATCAATCCAGACTTCGCGAAAAGACGATTCTCCATAGTTTAAGAAGTTATATCAAAACCAAATATACTCACATATCAGAACATCAGAGCGCCCATTAGTATCGTGGTAGACGCATTTGATTTAACAGTCGGTGGAGTCTTACAACAATGGGTAAACACAGCCTGGCAACTTTTGACAATCTTCTCCAGACGAATACTGGACACTGGATCGAAATACGGCACTTTCGGTAAAAAAAATTCTAGCCATTTATTGTGCTGTTGTGGTGTTTAAATAAATCCATGACTTCTTGGTTTTGATGACTGCTGAGATTTTGAATTCCAAAAACAATACATTCGTTTGTGCTCCGCTAATACTTCTTGACTAAATTGCGTTATTACTGGGATTACTAGTCTACGAGACAACCTAGAAAGTAGGTATCCAGCATTTAACTCGGAGAAAAACCCAACAATGGAGAAGGCAGGAAGGATGAATTCAATGAATTCAAATTCATCGAATGACATGGTTCAGCCTTGTGGGCGTAATCATTCTCGTGTAGACTATGCCCTTTATTCATATTAAACATTGGCAACCAGAACTGAAGTACGTACGTACTGAGTTGTACGTTGTGACTAACTGGATGTAGAAATACTTTTAGAAAGGTCATTTTTGAAATTTACCCTTATTTGAAGAATGTAACTCATCAGTTGGTAAGTTAAAAGTAATAATGTTTCATATATACTTTTGTTCGCATACAACTACACCTTCCGATGAAAATGGCTAACTAGACCGTGTATTGTGCAGCTTTTTGTTTCAATCATCCAAATCAATTACACACTTAGTGTGGTGTGTAGGTACGTAGGTACGAAGTTCTACGTTGCGACTGACTGCTGATGCCATTTGTTTTTAATAACCTGTATACTAATATCGGTCCTGCACAGACGAGATCGGGACACCACAAATCATCGTTGAACAATCAGTTGAGTAAAACTCGTCACTACATCAACTTTATTGACTATGAAAGAGCGTTTGACAGTGTGGACAGAAAGACCTAACGGAAACTTTTTTGACACTATGGTAGACCTGAGATGATCGTCTACATTTACCGAAATTCATACGACGGGCTACAGTGTGGGGTCGTGCATGAAAACAGCTGACAGACGCTTTTCAAATGAGGACCGGAGTCATACAAGGCTGCTTACTCTCCCTCGTCCTCTTTCTTCTGGTGGCCGACTGGGTTATGAAGACCTCAACATCTGAGGGAAAGCACGGAATACAATGTACAACTCGGAATCAAATAGAAGATTCGGACTTCGCAGATAACCTAGCCCTTCTATCCCATACACACGAACAAATACAGGTGAAGAGAACCAGTTCAGTACCAGTCTCTGCATCAGTAGGCCTCAACATACACAAAGGAAAAAGCAAGATTCTCAAGTACAACACAGAGAACAATAACCCAATCACACTTGATGGAGTGGCCCTGGAAGATATGGAGTCTTTCACGTACCTGGGAAGCATCATCGATGAACAAGGAGGATCCGATGCAGACGTAAAGGCAAGGATTGGCAAAGTAAGGGTAACATTTTTACAGTTGAAGAACATATGGAACTCAAAACAACTGTCAACTAATATCAAAGTTAAACTCTTCAATACGAACGTCAAGATTGTTCCACTGTACGGAGCTGAAACTTAAAGGACTACCACAACCATCATCAAAAACGTATAAGTACTTTTAAACAATTGCCTACGTAAGATACTGAATGTCCGTTGGCCAGATAACATCAACAATAACCTACTGTGGGAGTAAAAAAACTAGCTTCCAGCTGAAGAGGAAATTAGGAGGAGATGCTGGAAGTGGATAGGACACACGTTGAGAAAATCACCAAACTGAATCATGAGGCAAGCGCTAACTTGTAATCCTGAATGGAAACGGAAAGGAGGAAGGACAAACAACACGTCACACCTAGAACTGAATGCAGACATAAAGAGAATAAATTCTTGAGAATAACTGTTAGGAAAGTCCAAAAACGAGTTGGTTGAATAGTCATGGTTGTCCACGTCAGTTCATTGGAGCTTAGCATACGTTAAAAATTTTGAGATAATCCGCTACGACGATTCTTCATCTTCGATTGCGGACAATCTGATATATTCGCCAGTAATTATTTGTACGTTTGCACCCTTTTATTTTCGACCTTTGTTTTTATTGGTTCATGAGAAGAGGTTTGTGTTAGTGGTGTTGCCAAACACTCTGTATCCATTTTAATATCGAAAACTGATTTTATTGCATTAGTACATTTCGCTTTAGAAGTCCTGACGTTTGTGCTGATTATATCGTTCAGAGGAACGATGAAAGCTCCACGACCAAACCATCCAGCGTGGAAAACAAAACTCCATCATTAACACCACTTTATTCGCTCTACCAAACATAGTTTAATAAAGTTAATTTAACACCGTCCAAATTCACTCTTCTTAAAAAGTCCAGAACAAGCTTTATGTGACTACGATAGCTAGGCTTCGCAGTAACCCTGTAAACAGAGTTTGTCTTGACTGTCCTTCTTCTCAAGGATGTAATAAATTAAGTACCTCAGAATAACAGATGAATTCTTTCCTCTTTTTTCGCATTTAATAAATATTTATCCCCGGCAAAACCTTTTTTGTACATCGTGTAGCATCGCAGGGTCTGTAGAATAACAATAAACTATAGTCAAATGATCATTCAGATTGAATGTATTCCCATCTATGGAGACTTATTACTGGTTTTTACGGTTAATGAATTGGTGCGGTTCAATAAAAGCCAACGTGAGATTGAAGAAAATAACAATATATTTTGGCTCTTTGGATACTGTGACCATTTGTTCTTCCCTCTCCTTCATTTCAAATTTATCAAATATCTAGTAGGAATAGGTTTGTTTTTCAAGGGAGCTTGAGAGGCAGGATAGCCTAGTCACCAACCTGGGGTTGGTGAAGTTAGGTGATCACCACTGTCGTGACCTGGACATATGACCACGACACTTTGGCACTTACATAGCTTTGGTCAACCACAGTAGACTAAGACTACTAATATATGGACACAAAATAGCCCAAGTTTCCTAATAGGAACGTAACAGGCCCTTTACATCATTCAATCAGCCTAGTTCATCTGTTCGTACATAATTGGAAAATTATATGGTTTCGGTGGCCGCGTCAAATAGGAAATTGCAAACTTTTTCCCTCATCAGTCGATTCATGTGTGTTTAACCAAAAACATACTGGGTACCATGCTAGAACCAAATTAGAACTCAAAACCCAGTAAGGTACAAGGATTGTTCGTGTAATGTAATGACTATTTTGTATAAATGTCTAGATTCAAAACAGCACATCTATGTGTGTACAATTTTTTCGCTGTATTCATTCCTGACCCAGCGATGATTACTGGAGTACGTACAGGTTGAACCTGTGAGCTAACTCTCATATTACATCCCTTAATACTGTTACATAAACTACTACAACTACCATCACAACTGCAATTACTAGTAATACTTTAAAAAATCTTACTGCTCAGCACCGAGGTTCATGGTTTACGCATCCATATTTTCTGCATCGGAATATAATGTCCGCCACTTAAAAGACGCAAAAGTAACCTGTTCTGGAAATTCGCGAGACTGAACTGTTTTGGTGAAGTTCTACGAATATGTTAAGAATGTGTAATGGTATTGATCCTAACTACACGATCCTCTAACCTGAACACGAGATAACTGAGGAAATCCATAACACGAAGAGAAGGTCAACAATGGAGAAGGCAGGAAGAATTGATTGAGTCGAATCGGATAGCACGGCTCAGCCTTGTAGGCATGATCATCCTTGTTTAACTTGTCTCTTTCATTTATATTAAATATATTGTTCTATCTCCATTCTAAACGTGTTCTTTAGAAACGCCAAGCATTATAAAACTTAATGTCACGACACTATGAGTCAGAATAGACAATGATTTAACTTCCACGTAAGATCTTGTAGATTAGATAGTCATATTATAATATATCTATAAATTACTATAATTGTACTAATAACGAAAAATACCATAATTCTACAAATGTACCGGTGCTAGAACAATATGCCACAATCACAAAAATCATTTTCACCTTATCGTGTATTCTGTCTAAGTGAATTACACGCCGAATTAAACTAATAAAAGTCAGTCTTGTAGACTATCAATGTTGATGATCAGTCAAGTGATTGGAGGCCTACTCGAGTTAGACGGCAACTGTTGAACGAACAAGCTAACTTCGAAGTCACACCTCGCGATCAGCATCTAACGTGGATTACCCTATTCGACGTATTAAAGTATTACGCCTGCTTTGAAGACTGTATAACACAAAGAGCGTGATTACGTAAATACATTACTAAGAATGAGTACAGAGATTTTAATGAGAAAACCACCGCATAATCCATTTCATGGCGTTTGATTAACTGATGCGCGTTTTGTTGTCCTTGACTTTACCAGGGATCGATGATCTGTTCGATATTCGGTGACCAAACCCCCGGATGATTTCGTTAGGGGTCAGTGACATTTCACTGCTCCTACAGTCTCAAAGTTGTTCTTTAGTCATTGGACAATACTTCTGTAAGGGAGGCTTATACGGGATTTCTGTCAAGCTGTAGTAATGGATTGGGTACATTTATGTTTCCTTTGAACTCAGAGTTAGTTTCTTTTCGAACGAGGCAAGTGATTGAAGATCTGAGTGCAGTAATGGATACGGGAACGTTGTTCTCCAACAACTTGGTGTTCGCGTCTTTGGTTCGACTTTCATGTTATGAACCTGAGACTTTTTCATTACTCACTAATTTGATGGTACACTTTACACCAGATAAAACCACATCGCTCCGTCTTATCAACCTCGTTTTATAACTATAACACAAATCCTTAAAATCTCAGTTTAAGAAATATTAAAATTTGCCTGTGAGCGGCAAGTTTGAATGTCAAGGACGCTAGTGGTCTACCCTTGTCACTGACTGTAGCATGAAGGCTTGGAAGCTACGTAAGTTGCACACATTATTAGCTATGAGAAAGGTCGAATATCTCATTAGAGTTATCTTCAATTTCTTATTGAATTCAACCAGTGATTCTTTTGTTTTAAATCGACAATAATGACAACATGCCATTATAATCCGCCTTGTACTAATTCTATATTGTTCGATTCAGGGTTGTAAATAGTGGGCTTTCCAATAAAAAAAATTCCGTGATGAGGTGGAGCTGTACCGATTTTTTTGAGCGTTGGTTCTCCCTTTAGGTAACATCTTTATGATAAACCCCCAAAAATACTGCTGAATGGAGAAGCAAGAAGAAGGAATAAACGTTTCTCTATGAAAAATGAAACAATAATTGGAAGTACATCGACTTCGCATGAATAAAGGCTTTTATTACGTTTTTTGCGTTTTCTAACCTTAAACATAGCAACCTAACTTTCCCATGCTGTATGATACAAAGTAGTGCCAGTGTGTCTTGCATTTTCGGACATATATTCAGCGTCATCTCCCTCAAATTCGCGTATCGGTACCCCATATGATCACAACGTCTAGTAAATACTGTGTTACGTTAAAACGTGATCAACCGTACATCCATGTTTCTCTTATTACTACCCAAATAGGATGCTCAATTAGTATATGCGCTAACATTAAAGTCAACTACTTGTCTTCCAATCATTAGACCGTATTCTTTAACCTAACCACCAGCTCGAACCAATATATACCTTTATCCTTTCGGTTAGGGAATGCATATAGATTTTTTTTAGAAGCACGTTAAACATAAACATTGGTATAAGGAGGTACTATCTTGGGTAAATCCCACATATTATTCGAGATATTTTGAAGGCACGTGAGTTAGTCTTAGTGTTTTCCTGTGTGCAGTTTTTAGAACTACCCATATTATATGTTTGATTAAGTAGTGAAACTTCATCAGTTGAGATGGCTGAGACACATGTTACGTATGCCCAACCACCGACTGCTCCGACGTGCGATGTTTTATGGTGTAGGAGTAGGTTGGAAGAAAGCTAGGGGTGGCCAAACCAAAACGTGGCACAAATCCATGAAGTCACTAACAATTGGACTGAGCCATGTTGGTAGGTGTAGACTACCTGATCGGGATCCGCAAGATGGTAACAACCAATGGTTAGAGACCCTAAATGACATGGCTCAAAATCATGTGTAATGGCGAAGGTGCATCCACTCTTTGTGTTCTACCAAATTCTAACCTTTTGGATTCTTCATGTCCCTATCCTTTTTCTCTTTTTAAATTTATTTCACTGGATTATACTCCTTGAAAAACATCTTCAAACCCTAATCTTTCCGATTACTGCCTATACTTTTACTACCTCTACCACAATGGGATTTGAATCGACAACTGCATCTCTGTGCTAATGTGGCATGACAACTCGAACTGATGTACGTAAGTACGAAGTTCTACGTTGTGACTGACTGACTGAGTCAGAAAACATACCTAATAAATGCTCTCCATTCAAAAATCAATAAACGGTTATTGCTACTAATTAAGTAAGAAACATACCATGTCATATATGAAGGAGAAAACTTGGAGAAATATGGGGCATTTAGCTTTGTTAAATACACTTAGTAAAAAAAACATGTGTCACTAATAAAGTTCCAACCCAGTTTTAAGGCAAAAATGAGTAAAGGTATGCCTGGAATCAACATTTAAAGTACTTAACTTAAGTTGAAGAATACATGCTGCCGACAATGTGATTCGGATAGGTACAAATATAGATAACGCACGATTTATACATCATGCTTTTTGTAACCCGATTACCTGGTAGTTTTATGTATTAAGTTTCGACTTCAAGAGATATTTTTTAACTGTAGGCGGGACTTGAGTTTGAACCTAGAATTCCACAGAAAAATATCAAATATTTTTATTGTTAATTCATGCATTCAATTTTAGGTTGCTGAGATTACGTAAACTGACAATGCGTATAAAGAATTCATCCCAAGGTTAGGGAAAAATCTTTGCGTAAACATTGTGTCGTTTGTAACGCGAAAAAATAACCATATGAAGATTTGTTGCTCATAATAATTATGCCTAAAGTTGATACAGCACATGCAATAAGCCCCCAAATGCCGTGGTACTGCGGAGAGTGAACAAAGTGAGCTCTCTCTCTAGAAATGCTCTCACATGACCACGCGTATACAGCCACTGTCAGAGCTCTACTCACTGCCTTCTTGTGGCCGGGGTGTTGTTTAAGAAATTGACGGGACGAAAAGCGAATGTCCGGCACTTTAATTGGGCTGCTGGATACGGAGGACACACGTAGGGGAGTAGGGAAACCCTGATTCCAAACCAATATTGCATATAGAGTCCATGATCCAAAGGGAAATAATGGCGTATGAACCTGTTGTTGGTCACCGACTACCATAAGACTGCATCTCCTACATTGCTCCATTGCTTTATGGATCAGATCTTTCTGTCAAAGGCTCCGGGTGTGGCCCCCTAAAGAGACCACCTGCCTCGGTCTGGGCACCCGGGCAGTATCGTGTATCTAGGAAACTGCATAAGAGTTGGTGGTGACGTGAATAATGAGATCGATGCATGTATAGTGAAAGCCAAAGCGGCTTATGCCAATCTGGGCTATCTTTGGCGCCTTCGTGATGATATTCTGGCTGTAGAAGGTCAAATCTACAACGCGTCGGTGAGAGCAGTTTTGCTCTATGCTTGTGAAACCTGGCCTCTCCGAGTTGAGGATATTAGATGACTCTGTGTTTGGTCATCGTCGTATCTGAGGGATTGCTGAATTTTAGTGGCAACACTATGTTAATAATGCGGAGGTTCGGCAGCGTATGTTTTGGCACAGAGACGATAATTCAATTGATGTCACCATCTTGAAACATCGACTTCGGTGGCTTGGTCATGTTCTACGAATGTCGTCTCAGAGAATTTCACGTCATGCACTATTTGCCGACGCTGGATAGGAAAGGCGGAGAGGTAGTCAGTGTATGACATGGCGTCGTAGTATGAAAGCTGTACAGAACTGGCTTCTGTTGGACCTTCACCACTCCCTAGTTGGGGTCCTAGAGATGGTGAAACACAGTGGCTTGAGACGTTATCAGACATGGCTCAGAATAGAAGCCAGTGGCGATCCTGTTGTAACTTTCTTTTACTTTCTTCATAAAGAGTGGTTATAACTTCCTTAACTGAAAGAAATCTTCTGATTGTACATTTCAGTTTTCCCCATCATTACTCTTATTGCTTTCTTATATATATATATATATATATATATATATATATACATCTTACCCCTTTTTTCTTCCCATTCTCATTGTTTTGTGTGGCTCATATATATCTGGTGCCCCTCTGTACCAATATTTGCGTTTAGATAAATAAATAACCCGGGCAGTATTCTAGCCCTCACACAAATCTGATGACGAAGTGTTGCGCATATCTATTTGGTGCCTCCTTGTATTAATGTTTATGTGTTTAAATAAATAAAAATGAGTGGGGAATCTACAGACTGTGCATTAATTTGGTCCAGATATTCAGATGATACTTACGTTTCTCAAGGATGTCAGAATACACAGCATGATGTATAAATCGTGCGTTATCTATATTTGTACCTATCCGAATCACATTGTCGGCAGCATGTATTCTTCAACTTAAGTTAAGTACTTTAAATGTTGATTCCAGGCATACCTTTACTCATTTTTGCCTTAAAACTGGGTTGGAACTTTATTAGTGACACATGTTTTTTTTACTAAGTGTATTTAACAAAGCTAAATGCCCCATATTTCTCCAAGTTTTCTCCTTCATATATGACATGGTATGTTTCTTACTTAATTAGTAGCAATAACCGTTTATTGATTTTTGAATGGAGAGCATTTATTAGGTATGTTTTCCGACTCAGTCAGTCAGTCACAACGTAGAACTTCGTACTTACGTACATCAGTTCGAGTTGTCATGCCACATTAGCACAGAGATGCAGTTGTCGATTCAAATCCCATTGTGGTAGAGGTAGTAAAAGTATAGGCAGTAATCGGAAAGATTAGGGTTTGAAGATGTTTTTCAAGGAGTATAATCCAGTGAAATAAATTTAAAAAGAGAAAAAGGATAGGGACATGAAGAATCCAAAAGGTTAGAATTTGGTAGAACACAAAGAGTGGATGCACCTTCGCCATTACACATGATTTTGAGCCATGTCATTTAGGGTCTCTAACCATTGGTTGTTACCATCTTGCGGATCCCGATCAGGTAGTCTACACCTACCAACATGGCTCAGTCCAATTGTTAGTGACTTCATGGATTTGTGCCACGTTTTGGTTTGGCCACCCCTAGCTTTCTTCCAACCTACTCCTACACCATAAAACATCGCACGTCGGAGCAGTCGGTGGTTGGGCATACGTAACATGTGTCTCAGCCATCTCAACTGATGCAGTTTCAGTACTTAATCAATCGATTTGCCATTCTTACCTAGTACCCGTTTCCTAACATCTGCATTACTTACTCGGTGGTCCCAGGATATACGAGCAATGCTTCGAAGACACCTATGGTCGAATACTAGTAGCCTACTAATACCCTCTACTCTTATCGGCCATGTTTCACTGCCACAAAGTAGGACAGAACGAACTGTTACACAGTAAACCCGTACTTCGGTTGGTAGATGGATATCTCGCGTACGCCATAAATGACACAAGTTGGTGAAACCTAGACAAGCCTTATGTATCCGTGCTGAGATTTCGTCACACACCAGACCACAAGGACTGATGAGATTCTGAATATAAGTGAAGCGATCAAGACGCTCAACTACTTCACTCCCTGTCATTATTTCGGGTGTCCATAAAATTCAACCATGAAGTAACATTTTGCACTTCGAGGGGGGAGAATCACATCCCGAACATGCCTGCATTGTTGCTTATGGTGGTCAGAATCCAGTTTGTCAGAGTCTTCTTGAAATAGAACTATGTCGTCGGCGTATTCTAAGTCAACAGGTGAGTCTCCCGGTGAAAGTTCAACTCCTGGAGATTGAGATGATGAAAGTGT